CCCAAGCATATACCACTGCAAGACTTCTAAACACAGTAAGTTCATTCTGCGTAGATCGGACCAAAAACAATAATTAAAAAGCTGAAGGTACTCCGGATTAACATTGACATCAGGACGTCAGTCACCTCAGTCCCCCGTGACCGTGAGTGCTGGAAAGCACCAGAAACGTCGGGTATTAAAGATAAATTAAACGCGATAAAATCCGTAAAAGTAGTTTTAATCAATAAATACACAAATTAAAAAACTACTAGGTTCCTTATGCTTTGATACAAATTACACGCTTGCCCGTAAATTAACCGTTCAACATATTTTCCCAAAGGAATGTCACAAACCACGGTCCATATCCATCAATCGACTTCCTACATCCCCTACCAGGTCATCTCTCTATCTAGAAGGGCTCTACACTTCACTTACTGGAACGATGCTGCCACTCGAGAACTTTCCCCATTGTTTGTCGATTCTTCGAGTTTATGGTTGGCTCATTAGCACTTCAGCTTACTGATACATTGGGCTATACCTCTTAATCTAGTTCTACTCGATTATCCGCGTGTATTTCGAAAAACAAAATATTCACAGTTATTATTAAAATTTTAAATGTTATTTCATTTTTTGCTGAAATTCGTTATATTACCGTTACAGCATAACAAAAGTCTACGGTGATGGACATAGGCTCGTCTATAAATTGCCTCAGATATTGCCTGATTTGCCATATTGCCACGCTTAGTAGGCAGGTTGGTAACTGTAGTTTTTTGGTTTTAGTTATTATTAAGAAGACTTCAGATCAGTCAGATCTTCTGGTTTTTTTTTTCTCTGTCGCCTCTTACGACGCCGGGATGATATGGGGGTGGTATTAGGTAATACGTCGCCACTACACGGTTACATTTCATCATCATCTTATAATTTAAATCAAATTACTTATATATTTAAAACAGATTGGTTAGAGATTGTTATTATAATAATGTCCTCCAGACCAAATGTCGGCCACGGCGACCTGCCTCAACGGAGGCTAGCCATCAGCGCAGGACAGGATTATAGTGCCCAAGTGTACGCGCAAGCGCAGGTGCACTCTTTATTCCATCACTCTCATAATTCGATGGGACGGTAAACCGACACGACCGGAGAGAGATCAGGCGCTGGACCAACGGCTTTACGTGCTTTCCGAGGCACGGGGGTGAGACACCGCCAACTTCCTGACTCTGGGCAATTACTGAGAATTTCTTGACGGAAAACTCAAAAATTGATTTTTTTGGTCCGACCCGGGATTCGAACCCAAGACCTCATGATCAGCAGTCGCACCAATACAACCACTAGACCAACGAGGCAGTCAATAGGTACTCAAAAGATCTCAAAGACGTGATAATTAATAATTAACTAAGATCTGCATCGAAAATACGTTACCAACGTAACGTATTTTCGATTAAGATCTTAGCTAATCCGAAAACTCCTGCTGCCTTACCACAGTCACTGCGATCTGCGACCACTAGGAAACATCACCATCAATAATACAAAAGGGTTTCGCCTCTTAACGAGGTATCATCAGGGGAAATATCTCTACAACACCAGCAATGTAGATGCTCAGTGACCAAGCCACGGCTACTCAGACTATAAATGGCAAGACGAGAACCCGTTCGGAGGAAGGTAACGTCTGAAAGCAGCTGGGTAATTTCCCTTTAAATTGGAACTAAGTATAGCGAGTGGTTTCAACGGCGCTAGAAAACAGAAGGTAGTACCAATCCAGACACGTAACTAATTTCAGAAATATTATTGGCATCGTGAAATAAGCGCAGCTAGGTTCGTCCTTGATGTTTACATGAAAGTATTCAATTAAAGGTCTAGTGGGAAACTGCTTAGAAATTTGTGCATATCAAATCCAAATTGTAAATTAACCAATAGACATCGTGGCAATTTTCAACGTCTCGTCATTATTAACCCAATGTTACTCTGATATATTTCAAAAATTGCTAGATTTCAAGTAGGTATATTCTTAAATTTATCTTGTATACCTATTTCAGAAAGTTCATATCATTTCTTCCTGTAGGTGTAAAAAGAAACTATAGCAAAATAAAAAAGATCTTATGGCTTCCGATATATGGCGGTTTAGGCATCGTGTCAACAAAAATACTACAAGCAAATAAGGGCCTATGCTACCTCAAATGTGTTAGCAAGATCCCCAGTTATGCCGAAAATATTGCAGCATTAATTTTGAAATAAATATATGGGTGGTTAAGTTGAAAATTAATATTAAGTACTATGTTAGACGAAAACACGATTCCGTAAAATTTTCTCGATAGAAAAAATCAAGTTACCTGCAAACTGAACAATAAACTGCTGGTATTCATAAAATACTTTAAATGAGATCACGAAACTTTGCACATTAACTGAACTAATTATAAAGCAGGGCTTATGTTTTATAATTTTTTTAATTTCCATTATTTTCACTGTAAAAAGAAATTACCTAAACTATCGGCGTCCTGAACGGTTCAGGAACCTTGTTCCCTGCCGCCCGACCGCACATTACCTAACAGGACAATGTAAAATTAAAATGGGAAATAACCGTAATAAAAATAAGAAGCGACTGGGTTGGAGTAAAACAGGCATAAATATGATAAACCTAATTAAATAAGTATTTTAACGTTTAAATAATACTAGCTTTTACGGATTTTATCACGTATATTAAACTTTTTAAATACCCGACGTTTCGAGCACTTTACAGCACCCATCACGGGTGCTGTTAAATCGCAATCTATTTTAATATAATATGTATTACTTGTGAGATGCATTGTGTTTTCATGCGATGGCCAAATCAATATTGAAAACATATAAATATAAGATTTTAAACATTGATATGGTCACTATAAAATGTTGTTAAGTTATCTAATTACGTAACAACTTAAAACAGAAGGGCCCTTAAGTAGGGACTGAATAAATTAACCGACTTGGTATTACATGGATCTCACAACTTTTTACGGTAGAAGAACTGAGTTGTGAGACTTGTTTTTTTTTTTACAAGTTATGTTTTTTGATGGCATTAGTAATTACAAACATGTCGGTACACAGCATACGCGCGGGGAAGTGGGGGCGAAATTAGAATTTGAGCTGAGGTAGTATAGGCCCTCAACCTATAAACCACGGGCAGCAGCGTTAAAGGTGTTAAACGCCTGGTACATCAGCCGTCTATCCAAGCTCTAAAATATAAGGCAAATCATCCTTATTAGGGGAGAGGCCCGTACACACCTGTGCAGTTTAACCTTCGGCATACAAGGTGAAAAAAAACCTTACCCGTACAACGTGGGGTTAAAATAACCCTTAGTAAACATACTATTTATTAAGGGTATTATTTAAATACAACGGCTTAGATAGGGTTTTTGGCCTAATTAGTTATAAAGTAATAATTAAAACGCAAAATAATTAAGAAAATTATAAAAAAGAACACAAAATACAAAAGTTTTCCTAAAATTCAACGAATTTTCCTTATATCTAAAAAAACACGTGGGTCTTTTATATTAATAGGAGCTTTTAGTCTAAGCCAATATTATAAAAATATAGAAATAACTAAGTTTCTCTATTCTAGAGAGATCATTCATTCTCTCTTCATCATCATTCGTTATCTAAATCAGTACAATTTTGGCACATCAGATTTGCGTGTTCCTTACATATAGCAACCTTGCATTTGAAACAACCGTTCAACGTCTTCCTATCTTTATTTCTTGGACAAAAAGAACACCTTTGCGACTTCCTTGGTTGCTGTTGTGGCGGACCTGGAACCTCTTCATCCAAAATTTGGTGCACACGTTTTCTAATATCTCGAGGAACATGAGGATTGTCTTTTCTTTTTCTTAGATGATCTTCCAGCAATGGAAGTCCCAATTGCTTGATAAAGTTCCTCCATATATTGCTTTTCTTTCTCTCGATCTCGTTGTTGAACATACGTAATATAAAAGAATTTATATTTGCATGATTCAGTAAGGAGAAAAACAGCGTAAGTGGCCAGCGTTTACTGTTGCGGGAAACATCGTATGTTCTTGAAAGCTTGTCAACTACATCGACTCCACTTTTTGTCGAGTTGTAAAACGTTATAATAGATGGTTTTCTTTGGGTCCCGCTTTCTGGATCTATTTCATCATCATGGTGCAATGAGGACATCATATGTACACACTTTCGTGGTTTAGGTATATAAGACACAATGGTTATGTCTTTTTGAAAACCAAATATCGACGATTTTTCTTGACGTCTGGCTTTGAATTGGGTAGGAAGGCACGCCTTGTTTGACCGTAGGGTACCAACAGCTTGTCAATTTGTGGTTTCGAAGTAAATTTTCAGCAGTTTCGAAGCTCATAAAAAATTATCCATTGTTATATTTCTTCCAGATCCAGACACACGTCTAACTAAATGGTCTACAACATCGAATGGCTACTTACTCACTGCATAAGGGCTACTGTCAGGCTGTTTACCACAGTAAATTTCCAGGTTCATTGTATAAAATGTTTTTGCATCCACTAGGGCATAAATTTTTAACACATACTTAGCTGGTTTAGAAGGAATGTATTGACGGAAAGAACATCTTCTTCTAAAGACCACAAGTTCTTCGTCGATAGTCAAGTACTCAAACGGTGTATAGGCATCCTGACAGTTTTTGACGAAAACTTCAAATACGTCTCTTATTGGTGCCAAACGATCGATAGCAGCTCTTTCTGTACGCGTTGATGCGTCATCAAATCTCAAGTTATTTACCAAGAACGTAAATCTGTGTCTGGTCATAGTGTTTCTAAATATTTCAATACCAGTGCCATCATTAGCCCATAAATCTATAATACTTTGTCCTTTATGTCCTATAACCTGCCAGTATCAATAATCCGAAAACAGCTTTTAGCTCTTCTCTGTTCGTTTCTTTGGTTGACGGATTAGGTTCAGTTTTCCAATCTGAAACAAATCTTTTGGTTAGTATACTTCAAAACAATGTCAACAAGTTCTTCTGTAAAAAATATTTCAAAGCGTGTGTTTTAAAAAAGTGTGTTTTTTTTGTCACGAACAGTAGGTTTACACCCAGGCAAATGCGTAATTATGTTCTCAGACTTTGTTCGAACATTGGTCCGTGGTGGCGTTTTGTGCCACTTGGTTTTGGCATCTTTGCCTGTATAAAATGGTAGCGTTAGAGGCGTTTCTTCTACAGGTTCAGGGTCTTCCATGTCCGTATCACTATCAGATTTAGACGCCTCGCTGATGTGATCGGAATTATGATCACTGTCGGAGAGATAGTTTTCATCGTCTTCTGACACATTTTCTTCAAGTAAAACCGCCGCAATATCATCATCTTGCGTCCTATTTGCCATCTTAATTAAACTCTAACTGTAACAAAACACAAACTACATAAATATAACCAAAATAAGGTTGAAAATAACAAAGAAACATAAAACTGCATACATACCTTTTCAGCACCGTCCCATACAACGTGGGGTTAAATACGCCGGGACCCGCTATACGCGCGTGCACACACAAGCGTTCCGCGCAGCACTGATCCAAGGTCACGAGTCGACGCGGCAACTTTTAACGCCCGGCTACTGGGAATTTCAATGTTATTGCTCGATGATTACTTACAAGTCGACGTATTTTTCTGGAGCTGGGGTTAAAAATACCCCACGTTGTATGCCGAAGGTTAAGTCCTGATGAGGAAGGTGAAAGAAAATATTCATACAGGAAATAATAATAAAAAAATACCAAAAGCCTTTAATTAAATTGTCGTTCTTTTAATAATTATATGTAATACTTTATAACATAATTACACGTTACATTTACAATAATAATTCTCAAGATATCAAACTCTCGTGATAGTCTAAAACAACATAATATTTAAAATCAAACACAGGTGTGATAGAAAGTGTAATTTTTATAACGAAATGCGTTTTAGAGCTAAGCTTACTTTATATATATGTCAATAAATTACGTAAATATAATTTAGGTAATTAGAATCATTACAAATATACAACAAACACGAAAGTATGAACTACCTACAAAAATAAAACTTCCCAAAAAAGTCAATCTATGAAAAAATATTAACACTGCTGCACTAATTGCTCGAAAAATCTAGCAGTCGTTTAATAAATTCTTAAAAATTAAGTAAAGCTGTTTGAAAAATATTTTTGACGAAAGTAACATTTACACAAACAACGGCGCAATGATGGTATAAAATAAATAATGCAATATTGCTAAATAAAAGCACATTATTTGTTTGTTGCCTGTCTTCAGAGACTATCGCTTTTAAAAATACGCTTAAAATTTTGAAAAAAAACCTACGTTTCGAAAGTCAAAATCATTAACTAAATGAAACAAGTTTAATCAGTTACTTAATTGGACGGCTAGGCCCTTATTTAAATTTTTATTATTATATTATTTGGGCTAACAAATTCAGATACGGAAGAAAGGAAAACAGACATTCATTTATAGATACGGCTGATTTTAGACCTACTAAGACGTAAAAATCTGTCTTCTTTGTTGGGCAAATGTGGACCCTTTTACGGCGACAATAATAATTACTACAACGGTCATTTCACCAGATGGCGGCAGCAGCTGATATAGTTTTACCGCTTAATTAGAGATTTGCAATCATTTTTTTAAAGAATATTAACAATGGTATAAACATTACTAATATTCCCCTTAACCACTCGTGGTAAGCTTAAATGGCTTGTGTTACGGGGGTTCACGCTAGTAGTCGAACGGTGGTTTCGAACCCACGACCTTTTTGAGTTCGCGGTCCGCGCCCTGCCATTACGCTACTCTCGCTTATCGTCGTTTTTTAATAACAGAAAATATGGTTTTACTTACGAATCATCACTTGAATTTAAATTATACTATGAACGCCTTGCAAACTGTAATTATTGTTGCTTTACGCTTTTGCTACACGTTACGCTTATGCGATCTCTGGCCAACCTTTCTTTAGACATGCAATTAACTGCCAGCGTACTATGGCAAGCCGTCCAATTGATTTTTTAGTATGCTGGATTTTTTGTAAAATTCAATAAAGCTATTATCAAATTGCCAACTCAGTTTTAAAATAGCAAAACATGTTTATTGTTAGCAAAATTTATTCAATAAGTATTATTCGATCGGATTTTTCGTTGGTATTTCTAACAGCAAAATAATATTTTTTAATTTTTGAGGGGCTACTTCCATTCACAATGGCATATGCAGTAAAAAAAATTGTAATGTTTACAGAGTAGCATTTTATGAGGCAACATAATACAAGTTATTAGATAGCTACTTTTATAAATGTTTGTGTTCCTCAATTATTTGATGTGACATTCAGGGAATGAAAATGTTATGATATGGATGTTGTAAATCAAACCTTTCTTTTTTTAGGTTTTATTACGAATATTATTTAAATACTTGTATTAATTGATAACTTTGATTATATATTTTGAGTTATAAGCAGTCAAATATTTTAATTAAATTTGAAAACTTTTTTGCCTCACCCTAACAAGTAATATAATCAAAGAATACTATTAATTAAACATATAAGTTCCACAATCTTACGCGTTTTGAAACCGAAATCTAGAAACACCAAACTTCAGTGGCGTAACGTTTATTGTTTACTTAGCACAAGTCCCATAAGACAGACAAACAAAGACAATAATGTATGTAAGAAATTCTTTTGCGTCACATTCGATGAGTTCTCGAAAATCGCCTATCAATATCTGATTTAAAATACAGAATACTAATCATAGGTTAGTGATAAAGGAAGGACTATCAATGCAGTAATTAATAGAACTCATTATATCTGTTCATTCAACACTAAGCTAAAACCAAATTTTGATGATTCGAACAACATATCGATAGACGGAATTATCAATCAAGTCACATCTTGGTCATTTATAAAAATAGTTTTTTTTTCGTCTAACACAGTACGTAAAGACAAAACACTCTTTATATTACTATAAAAGAAATAATTGATAAAATGAAGTATTTAAACAAGAGGTGTGACAAACAATATAAATATTTTCTATTCATTCGCTGTTTTATTTCTATCAACTATTGATTAAAATTCCAACATTATAGAATGTCCTATTTATTTGTATATAAGCTTCATTCTCTCATTGGCGAGCGACTAACAATTTGTTTGTACGTTTTATACGAACAATTTGATCATTTTACTCAGCAGTAAGGCAAATCCGCTGCGATTTACATCTATATGAACCTATGTATTTTAAAACAGAACCTTGACTAACCTAATTTAACCAACATAGACCAATCTATATTAACACTACCTAATAATTTATTTACAATAAAGAATTGTGCCTCATTAGAACATTAAATTTGTAATCCACATGGAGCATTATAATACAAAAAGTGCTGACACAATATTCACATAAAAGAATACATATCCATTTATACACTTAATAAACTATTTTTGCACTTTCAAATTGCCACTGAATTGGCTTAAACTCGGAATATCTCAATTTAATTAAGATTTTCATAACCCATTTCCACAATCAACGCTTCATCTAGTAATTAATCTAATGTGATCTATATTTACAATTTTTAGAAGAGGAAGAGATATTGTTACAAAATGATGAGGTACAACAACCGTGTGCAAAACACCTATCGACACAATTTGTTTTTTACAAATGGCATTAGACTATTACTACAAATGGTTTCAATGTACACAAATTCCTTTATTTGGCTCATATTTACAAGTATATCACATGAAGTCAATTGCTGATGCGTTCTCAACATTGCTTTCTAGTACTGCAAACTACTTTGGATGTCCGATACCTAAGCTATGTAATCTACTTGTATATTTTGTTCGTAAAAAAAGCTACACAATTGGGAATGCGCTTTACTAAATGAGCAAAAGGTTCTCATTGCCAAATAATCCAATAGTAGAAATTATCTATATTCCTAGGTGGTAAGGTCCTCCATCCCTACTTAGGAGTCCGATTAGGTAGATACACTTATTAGACATGTGTCAATCATGAATGATTCGTTCGTTTGAGATGGAACACTTAAAAGTATTGTTATCTGTTTTTGAATGTTCCGGTACAGCCAATTACAAACAATTTACGGTACCTTTTTAACTCGTAATTGGTGTGAATTGTGAATTAATCGAAAACCGACCGAATCCCGAATGATATGAATGAATAGTTTTTAGTGTAGGATACTGGAGCCCGAAATGATACATTTGAATGATCGATCCGAATGTACTGGGGTACGCGTGACGAAATGTACTAGAATGATTCGGTCACGAGAAATGAATAAATGACTCATGTCTAACTCTTACTTATACCGCCAAATAGCAGTGCGTCCACTGCTGTGTGTGAGACCGGAGTCCGAAGGATATTGAGGGTATGGAGAGCCAGGCTTTGTGACATTCCATCTTAGTCATCGGAGGTAACAACGCATCTGTAGTCTTCTTTATTTGAAGTTGGTTGCAGGTATCCGTGAGCTGCAAGTAGCCACTTACCATCAGGTGGACTGTAAAAACTGTCATTTCAAATTTATTAAAATAAAAATTTGATAGAATTTATGCAATTACTTTTAAAATCTACAACATTGTGTTGTATAAGTTACAAGCAATAATAAAAATTATTGCCCTTGAATGCTTCATTCCCCATATTTTAATGATATCCATCGACTTCCATTGATGATGACATTCTATCGGAACTTGAAGTACTACAGTTCATACTGTAGTTTAGATTGCTGAGGGACATGTCCTGAGGTACATCTGAAGGCGAAGTCTGATAGTAATTGCTTGCCGCGTACGTTTTAGCGGTATATGCAGCAGGTGGCTGGGACATTTCAACTTGCGTACTCTCTTTATCACTGGTTTCCATGAACTCTATTATTCTCTGCGTTGCCTTCACGTGAGCGACTATTGCAGCCTCCGCCTGAAATAAAATAATATTATTATTCTCTATTAATTCACTGGACGTCTGTGTCTGCATTCAGTTCGGTTCACACCTACCAGCACCCGGTGTCAGGTGTCCAGTACGAAGCGTGGCAGACACGACATAGACAATAGTTTTCATGGGTATGTTCCGAAACGTTTTCAGTATACTGCCGAATACAAATGACGTCACCAATTGACACTATATTGTACTGGTGTGCCGCTGCCATATTGTGTCGGATATCCGGCCATAATAAAACAATTTTTAATTGCGTGTGCGCTGAATGAAGCATGCCAGAATTTGTTTTTATTTATTCAAACACAAAAAATTATAGAATAATTGCTGGTATCTCCATTAGGAGGATATAATGATTTTTGGAGCACAAAATGACAAAATAATCGCCAACACGTTTCCAATATGGCGCAAATGTATGACGTCATATACTGTCCTAT